GCATGGATTGCAGAAGACTGGCCTGTGAGGAAGCAGGAGGCATAGCAGAAGTGGTTGGTACTTTGAATGCAACACTTCTATCAGTGTACTGTATACAGAGTAAAGACTGTTCCTAACAGTGTGCAATAGGGAAACAATTTGTAAGTTATCCATAAGTCGTGGATTGCATCATGTTAATACGTAGTCAGCATAGACACTACCTGGTACTTAAAGTTTTATAAGGGCCTTATCCAAAGCCCCATACAGTCACTAGAAGTCTGTCCGAGGAATTTGGATTAGACCCTAAATGAATAAAGCTAGATCTTTACTGCCTGAGAAGCACAAACTTGGTGTAAAACCCATGTGGGGAAACTCATCAGATTTTTCTAAAACGTTGCTCTGCTTGTCATTGGCTTTTTCTCTGTAAAGTAGCATGTATGTGAATGTACGATGAATATTTGAAAACTATTTTATCGGCAATAAAATTTTAATTACAAATTGGGATGTTTCCTATTTGGATTAATGTGTGGTACTGTGGAGTGATGGTCTCTGTATAACAGGTCATTGCACTGATAGCAGCTTACCTTCACTAAGTGTTAGTGGGAAAACACTGCATCTTACCATGTTGCAATAGAAGAGGCTAACTTCTGAATACATACCAAGGTCCTGGGATGAAAGTTGCTATATAAGTGTGATACATGAATGGTATTTCCATCTTTGTTTTGACCAGGATCATACCGATGGGCTTACCTTCAGAAGGGTTGGGCTTGGTTTCATTGCCATAAGTCAACTACTAACTGTCAAGACTTAGGAAGACAATTTCCCTGTGGGTTATGATGTGCGTCCAGTGGAGTGTCTTTCCTCTTTCTCTGAAGCAACTGATGCTGGACACAGTCATACAGGACACTGAACTAGATGGAACCCAGTCTGGCAATTCCTGTGCCTTTAATATTATAGGGGCTGGTAGCAGTGTCTGTTAAAGGTTGCCCAACACTTCCGATTTTAAGACCATGTTTTTGGTTGCTAATTACTTTGCCAAATTTTAACTATTAGGGCTGGAATTTTCCATGCTGCTTGTCCGTCTGAAACTGAATTATGTATTTATAGTTTTCATTTCAGCCAAACTATTCCACAGTTTCTGAGAACAAGGTTAGGGGGAAATGTTTTGCAACTTAAAAAACAAACAAACTCTGACCTTTTCTTTCAGAATCTCCAGCAACCCCTTGCTTTCGAACAAGGACTTGACACAGGGCAGGGAGTGGCCTTTGTTTTACAGCTGTGCCTTTTTGCCATCCCCATGAAGAACTGCTCAAATCTGGCCAATCTACACACTTTTGAAAAATCTCCCTTTGTATGGGCTCAGTAGAGACTTAGATTTTAGCAGCTAAGATCTCC